TGTAACTTCTGGCCTACATTTGAGCCTGAATGTGCAGGGGTTCCCCAAGACCTGAAAAAATATTTCAGGGGGTCCTCCAGGGTCAAAAGGTTAAGAAAGGCTGTCCCAGATCATTAGCATGGCATGCATGTGGATGCTGAAATAAGTTTAGCGCAGTGTTTCTCAACCTCAACAACTTTAAGATGTGTGGACTTCAACTCCCAGAATTCCCCAGCCAGCCATTAATTCAATGGGATTTACTTCTGGGTAGACATATGCAAGCTTACACTGTTGAACATGTTAACACAAGTCAATTCAGAAAGGCTGGTCTTTGGTTTCTGCCTAACATATAAAGATTATGAAACAAGTGTTTTACTCAAGACAGATCCTCAACTCTATGATGAAATATACAATAAGCATGGGCAGCAAGCTCCCAGTTCTGCATACTGTGCCTAGTACTCTAAGCAGATAAAATGCAAAACAGATCTATGTTATTGAGGCATATATATGTTACTTATGAATTTTGGTATATTATTTTAATCTCATTTTAATTATTGTTAGCCACCCAGAGTCATGAATTTGAGATGGGTGCCCATATAAATTGAATGAATAAATAAAAATGTAAACACCTGTCAAACATGCGCAAACCAAAATCTTCCACCTTCAGCACCTCACCTCCCTTTAACATAGTGATCTCTACCAGCCCAGAATGGTCCAACTGAGATCACAGAAAGCAGAGTTTAAACCTCTAGAACCCTGAAACGTGACTTGTCTTTCAGCTATTCCCTCTGCCCTCCAGCAGTCTTGCTAAAGCGATCTATATAGCAGTGTTTCTCAACCTTGGCAACTTTAAGATAGGTGGACTTCAACCCTCAGAATGCTGAGAAACACTGCTATAAAGTGCTATGCGAAGCATGTGTATGAGTGACACACATACCTGCTGACACAAGCAGTCTGGGGGCTAAACCTGTTTGCCACAGCGAACCTTCTTGTACAAACAAAAGTCTGGATTTGGTCGAATCCTATTAGAATCTCATGGACCTATTCACGTCTCCATCTGTTGCACCAACCAGGGTAAAGGTCTATCTCCAGACAGAGCCTTTTCCCTTAATGTGGAATGAAGAGCGAAACTAGGAGCTTCGTTCCTTTCCTGCAAGCCTCAGAAGAAAGCAGATCACTCAGAGCAAGTCCTTTCCCATTCGAAGCTGGCGCCCTTGCCTCTCCCCATGTCTGAGAATACGAGACCGCCTGCTTCCTGCGCAGACCTTCTCAGACAGGCAGAGCTGGGAAAAAGCTGCCGGCTTCGCCTGACCTGCTCCTTGAAGCGCTGAGCCGCTCTTCCCATTTGCTCCAACGCGCGCTCCCGCCGGCTCCTCGCTTTTTCTATCTTGTCCTGGGCCTGCCGCCTCCTCCGCCATTTCAGCAGGAGGACGGTCGCCAGCGAACAACCCAGAAAAGCAGTAACCAGAGCAACACTCATCCTCAGCGCCGAGCGGCCGTCCCCGGCGCTTCGGTCGCTTTTGTACCCGGACTCCGCCCACTCCGCCCCGTGCAAAGGTGCAAACCATAGGCTTTGCCCAGTAAAAAGGCGACCCGGCCTTCCATCCGAAGTGGCGCGCACCGGAAACTCACTTAGTCCCGACCCCTTTCCCTCGGAAATTAGCATATTAGCCACGGCTGCTCTTTTCATTGAAAGATGGTTCTGCAGCTGTTTCAGACAGTTCCGCTAAGACCCTGACGATCCGATCCCTAGTTTACAAAGGACACGCTTTTTGGAACATCCAAAAAATTCAGGCGGGAACCTTCAGCCTCCTCCTAATGCAGCTGAATTATAATTACCAACTCCAGCTCCGACAACAGGAGGCTCCGCGAGGGTTAATTCAACGGGAGGTGGACGGGGAAGATTTCTGATAAGGATGCTGATGTGCTCACGTCTTTCCTAACATATTTATCCTGACTCCCAACACTCCCACAACACTCTGATCAGAAAGATAAATGTTCCAAGTGTTTCCATTTATAACCATTTCGTTTTTTTTTTTTTTTTAATGCTATGCTTATTAACGTTGAAGTGTGATCAGTTTATCAGGTCTGAAATCTGGGCTGCAAAAATAGAGACAATCACCAGATGGCAGCATAGCGGTTTCTGTATCCGTTTGCTGCCTTTTAATGGTCCTCTGGAATTTGCCTACTTCCGACACATTATGCAAAGACCCAGCTCTCTGGAAAAGGCTCTAATGCTGAGAAAGGTGGAAGGAAAGAGAAGAAGGGGATGACCAGCAGCAAGGTGGACGGACTCAGTTACAGTGGCAATGAGTGCACCAGTGGGAGATTTGAAAGGACATGTTAGGGACAGATCATCATAGAGCACTGTTGTCCCAACCATGTCCCCTCATTTTATAGTGAGTTATCCTGCTGTGGGGGGGACTGTTTGTGTAAATATACTTCCACTTTAAATGGACTACT